CTTTGAAGCCTGTAAAATAAATTGCTTTGCGCTCCTGGGGGACAGCAGCTACTTTGTCCCTGCTTGTACTAAATCAGATTTTTGTTTCTTGCATATTAACACATAAAATTTTGGGGAAACTCTGAGGCTGCTGTTGGAGACTTGAATTAGCAAGCCGGATGGAGGGCTGTTTTACGTGTTCTTCTGGGGAGGCACCGCAGGCTGCCCTGGGTTGTGGGTCTGCAGCAGCAGAGGTGTGGGGAGGAGCTGGTTTTGGGCTGCTCGTTGACATCCGTGGGGTTTGCCCGTGGGCACAAGCCTTCGCTCAGCTCCACTGATCTCCTGGGAAGATTTGTGGGCAAATTTGCTCATCTCTAGCAGAGGCTCAACATCGTTACCCAGCTTTTTACACGAAATTGCTTGGGTGAAGAAGGGAAAAAATCAAATACATCTGTTCTTTCATTTTTCTTTTTTTTTATTTCCTATGGGAATTTTTATTTGTTGGGAAGTTTTTTGCTAAATAAAATTTTTGTGCATATGCTTTCTTCATTAGAGAAATCGGAGTTGGGGATAAACAAATTACTTTTTCCTGTAAAAAATAAAATTTAAAAAATCATGCCACAAAATAAAAAGCTGGCTGCCATTGAAACATTTTTGATAGAAAATCTGCCTGCAGCCCTACCGCTTAATCAGTTTGGCGCAGAGCATAGCCTGTAGCTTGTTAATAAGAGCAGCTTGCCCGAGCGGTTCGCACAATGGTGAGCTGCAGAGGAGGCTTGTTGCATAGCTGTGGATTTTATTTTGCAGCTCTGTTAATTAAAACATATTTTACTTTGAAGGAGGTTTTTACTGTTTTCTATGAGGGTGAGCAGAAAACTGTTCTCCTGGATAGGTTAAAGGAGGGATCTGAACTATTTTTTTTTTTTTTTTTGAAGTAACAACTCTGTTTGAAGGGCAAACTCTTAGCAAAAACAATGTGTAGTTTCTTATTTTTATTTGTTCTCAGCCTTTGTATACAGGCTGGTTTATAAGTCTGACTATCTTGGCTGTTTTGATAATATCAAACTAAATTTTCACATACAAGTTGCCAGACTGGAACAGAAAAGTTGTCACGTGTTCTTATTTAATTGGTAAAGTAATTTTTACTTATACAAGGGTAAACTAAAATAATAAGGCCTGAAACTGAGCCATTGAAGTTAATGGCAAAACCTTCATAGGTTCCACATAAAGCCTGTATTTTTATTATCCCAGTTCCAGTGACTTTTGTTGCAAGTTTGCAGCAAAACGTTAGGGCATTCTAAGTGTTATTTTTATTATACAAAATCCCATTAAAATCCGTACTGAAGCATCCCATTAATTTAAATGGGACTTTGCATAGTTTGCGGAGTTCCAGGCCACAGATAAAGAAAAGTACGCAATTTGGAGTTAAACTGACCACAGCTTTTTATTAGAAGACATTTAATCTCGAACAAACAGCGCAGTCTGAGGCATGAAGTCTTTGTGAACTTCATCTTGGGTTTGTGCAATAGGAATCTCCACCAAGGAGCAACTTCTGAGGAGGTCACCTGGGACCTCTCAGGACTGTACGGGGATCCCCAGCAAACCCCTAGCCCAGGTAGGTATGCAAAGGGCTCCCCAGGCGGCTTTGCCTTGGAAAAATCCGTATAGGTAAGCCAGCACACCCAGAACAAATGGAAAACTCGATTCAGCTATTCCTCTGGCTCCAAGAATCAGCTCGCCTTGACAAAGGCAAGGCTGCAGTCAGCGGGCAGGAGTCTGGGGGGTCTCGCTAGGTCGAAGCCATGCAGCTTCAGAGATCCCTGCTTGAGCTCCACGTGCTGGAAGCCACTTGCAGGAATGTGCGGGGCGAGGGATGGAAAACCACCGCCTCAGTGTGCGGGATCACCCACCAGTCAGGCGCTGGCACGGGGAGCTCAGAAACCAACGCACCAAGAGTGGTGGGGAGAGCTGTTCTACACATGGGAACTCCCTTTGGGGACTTTGGGGGGCTAAGGGACCGTTAAATGCCAGCCCTCCTCAGCTGCCCCCAGCGTGGGCACATTGTTGGGCACCTCCAAGGGCATATCCCTAAGGAAGCTGTGCTTGGGCAAGGCGGTCCCAAGCCACGCTTCAAACACACCAAGACCCCAAATAATTCAAGCTCCAACCATTGAGGAGGAGACCTGAAGGCTGCTGGAAGCCTGGCACCCGTAAAAGTGCACGGGGAAGGTGTAGGAGCTGCTTTCTGCTCAGCGTCCTCTTGGAATTTTTCTTTCCCTGAGCCGTAAATGTGTCGAGATGCCCAAATTTCGCCCAGCAGCAGGGGATCAGCTCTCCCTTGCACATCCACGGAGCAGGGGATGCCGGTGACGGCCACCAGCCCAGGACCCCAGGCAGGCTGTGTCCCCGGCTGAGCTTCAGGGGGGCTCAAAACTCTGACAGCAACTTGCTGCAAGGTTTGGCTAAACGTGAGCCTTGCAAGTCGCTACTCTGATTTAGGACTAACAGTGCTACCTCTGGGAACCGGAGAAAAATGAAGACAGAAAAATCCAGTCTAAAATAAGAGCTGGGGGCTTGCAGATACCCCCAACCCCGCCCTCTCCGCCGGGGCTCAAGCGGCTCCGCACAGAGAACTGCAAAGCTCCGGGGAGATGGGGGTGGGGGTGGTG